TTATCTTATTAATAATTATAGAATGTAAGTACGTATTTACAATAACAAAATAAAATACATTCTCTTTTTCTTGTCTATTTTTCTTTAAACATTAGATTGACAATGTGAATTTATTTGTTGTTCTTTGAAAATCAACAAATCAATATATATATATATATATATTTAAGATTCTTATCATGTACAATTAATCTGGCAAGATTAAAATAGTTTATGTAATTGTAAGCTGAGAATTAATTTGTTTTGCTTCTTTCGCAAGAGTTAAAAATGAAAAGATTATAAAATGTTTGACATCTCAAACGTTATTGTAAAAGTTGTTCATGTTAATCATCTTGTATCACTTATGTTCACAGACACAAAGAACAAAAAAGATAAATTGAAATAATTTAATATTTATATATCATATAACAGAGATGTGACATTTTTACAAGAGTTCACGAATTATGTAAGATGAAGATATCAAGTGTGTATGGAACTAAAAGATAGACACGTGGACAAACATCTTTTATAAATATTAAAAAACCAGTAGTAAGTAACTAATAATGATATGCTAATATACAAAAACATTGATATTTCAAAAAAAGAATTGATCTTTTGACCTACGTTTAGCAAGACTTCTTGACTCATTATCACTATAATGTATTCTATATGTTGTATAAATATTGAATGGAATTGTTTAAACATCCTGTATATATATGATCTTATAGATTTTTATATTTGCATATTCACAATGTAATCATTATTATTATTCGACTAAAGAAAATTGTTTTGTAGTAACAATACGGCTGTAAATATTGCTTATGAATTATACAAGTAAAAAATTATAAAAAGCTAAGCGAATCAAGGATAGAGAAGAAAACAATTATGTTTTCTTTCTCTGCCTATATTTTTACAATATTATAATTTAATATCGATTGTAATATTTATAATGATCGTTACTTTGGCGTTTATCTCTTACGAATTTTAAATAAAAATTCTTATGTTCAACTTGTTTGAAAAAAAATCTACATATAGTTTTAGTATTACTAATGATCATAATATTATTAATAATATAGTAACAATAATCACAATAATAATAATAACAATAGTAATTGTAAATAATGATAAAGAATTTAGATAAAAATATAGAGTACCCTGAATAAGAAAAGCACATGATTTATAATCAACTGTCGTCGTTTACAGTAATTAGAAACTAAAGATAAATAAATTATTTTATAGATTAGATTTTTTCGTAAGATGTAATAAGAGACGCAGAAAAAAACAGGCAACGAATTTTCGCATTGAAAATTTGGAAATCGAATTATTCGGAAGATTTAACCGTTTGGAATTCAGAAAAAGGATTAGCTTGTTAGTCTAAAATTATGTAACAAAATTTGTCGTATATTTGAACAATTTTTAGCCAATTAGATACTTTATTTATTGCGGATTTGCGATCAAACGGTTAAAGATTTCCGTTCGTTAAATTTGTCTTCATTTCATTTTCATGACATATCTTTTAGTAACAAATATCTTTCGCGTTTCTAAAATGATGAAAAGTGTATTGGCAAGCAAAACAAAAGATCTTTAATTTGTTACTTGTTAAAGAGTATGAAAAAATATTCGATAGCACCGTTTAAAATTAGATCACTATATATATCTATCCCTTTTTATAGAATTAATTCCTATCCTTTTTTTCTCTCTTACTTTTTCTACTTTTCGTCGTCGAGATCGTGAATTAGACAAAATTAAAAAGAAAAACAAAAACAATCGTACCGAATTAAATGTTATTAATCCATTATCGTGCAGTCTTTAATTTCCAACGGAGAAATATATACGCTGCGATTCTTAAAATAACGAATATCAAAAGTAGAGCTAGAATGTCTAAAGTGAAATCTGCATCGAGCATGTCGAGCTCCTCCAATGTCGTTTCTGGATTTTTAAAGTGGCAGTATACCTGTGAATAAAAAGCAACATCTTCATCGATCATTTCTATTAACGATGACAGTTAAGTGAAAGTTATAAATTATACATATTAATCATTTTATTTATTCTATTCAAACCTACGTGAAAGTTCCATTAATTATATCGATTTGTTTATTTTGTTTATTTCTTTTTTTTGCACGATCAATGATTTAAATAAAAACAATTATATTTGTGTAAACATTTAATAATTATTAATATATATTAATCAGAAAGTGAATGTAATGAATTATGAATTTTGTAATTATTACCTGGAAGCATTTAAGTTTTTCTCTTGCGAATGAATATGTAGCCAATGCAGTTCCTTCAAAACCATATCTGATGTAGCTAAGATAAGTTATCCATCTGAGATAAACAGGAATGGCGTCGAAACTGACGAAAAATCCTGAGAATAGGAGGAACGGTACTGACATTACTGGTGCTAAAAATACACCATTTTGTACGTTCATGGCAGCCCCAACTACAAGGCCAACCGATTGTGCGACAAATGATATTAACAGGCAGGCACTTAGGAACATGCTAAATCTCGTCACATCGGCTGGTTGACCTGTTAGGAAATAAACGATTGTCACGTAGATTATGCAGAAGATTGCCTGAAAATAAAAAAAACAAAGCCATATAATATATATTAACTATGATAATAAAGATTAAACCATAATTTACTTCTAACATAGAATTAGAAATACTTTAATTAAAAATAACGAATGTACAAATAATGAAAATAAAAATAATATATATATATATATTAAAATGAATGAAGTAGATTCATGAATTATATACAAATTTGCTTGATTTACCTGAAAAGGTATGTCCGACACAGTGATGGCCAAATAATAAGCCTTTAGTGAGTACCATCTGTTAAAATTTTCTTTTAGAAGTACTGGCAGTTCTAACGGGACTACAATGAACAAAAACATTGATTAGTCTAATGTATTTTTAATCGAATGTAATAAAATGTCAAATCAATAATCAATGATATTTACAAGATAAAATTGTAATGGTCATGGATGTGTACATGAGGAACAACATGTTGAAGAATAAAAAGCCAAGATTGCTGAGTACTTTAGCGCCATCATTACCAATATCATAATAAAGGGCACTTATCAGAAAACCTACCAAGATATGAGCAAATAGACGAAGATACATCAGAGTCTAAAAAGATTTATTAAAAATATATTATTATCATTATTATATATTAACAGATATATTAAATAATAGTATAATTGTTTACTTTTTAATTTATAAATATTATACTTTTTTCGTATTACACACATTCAAAAAAAAAACATATATGTAAAAATATTGTAAAATTTGAAAATTATAATATATTTGTAATAATTCTAAATTAAAAATCTTAAATTATATTATTGTTATTTATATATAAACGTTTTGCTTTATAATTCCTTTTAGAACTTACCCAATCTCTTCGACTGAAAAGTAATGCCCTCTTCAATACGATCCAAAATTGTAAGAATTCCGAAATAGGATATCTTTTAGGTGTTACGACAATTGTGTCATCGAGAAGTGCTGTGTTGACGTTGTCTTTTTCATTAGAAATAGGTATTGTAACTTCGGCAGCTGTGATAGAAATAACAAAATATGTTGAAAATCTGGTTAATCTTGTCTTACATTAATGATATATGTATATTTAAAAAAAAAATTGTTTGGATAGTAAAATTGGAAACAAGAAAAATATTCTAATAATAAAGTTAATCATTTTGGCTTATGAATCGGGTCAATTCAAAAATCTATTCGAAGATAAGAAAAAGATAAGTAACGTTGAATGCACCTTGTTTAACGATATCGTTGGTTGCATAACTGGGAATAATTCCACCGTTTGTAACTTCCTTTATTTGTACATTACCAGTAAATTTTTCTTCAATATTACTGACATCATTTTTATTTTTAACTTCTCTTGAATTACCAATTGTTTCAATGTCTTTATCAATATTCGAGTTAGCTGTACCATTATTCAAAGTTTCACTTTTTAATTCAGTAAAAGTATGTCCTTCGCGTATATCGTGTTGTCCATTTTTAATTGCGTTCACCAATTTCTTTATATTATCCCCGTACTCTCCGCAAGCAACTTCGATTACTGAAATATTCGTAATTAAATTAATTAAATGAAAAACTATGAATGACTTATTCATTTTGATCATTATTAATCTTAGGAAAAATAATAATGATTCGATTAAATTACTTACTGAATGAAGCTGGGTTGTGATAACTTGGACAATTTAAACCAATTGTTCTTAAAAAAGGTACCAATTGAGAACTAGATCCTTGATAAACGCATTGTCCTTCGGCCAAGGTATACAACGCATCGAACATTTCAAATAATCTAGCACTGGGCTGATGAATCGTACATATGATTGTTCTCCCACCACGTGCTAGTGTCTTCAACAAGGATATACATTGGAAGCAAGATGACGAATCCAATCCACTGTAAAATGTTAATAACTAATAATTATAATATAATATACATATTTTTAATTATTGTCACCGAGAACGCGAATATTTTTTATTGATATTCAGCTTGATTATTGAAAATTTTTCTAAAAACCTTTATAATTACGAACCAAGGTAAATTATTATACGATCGATATGATTAACATAAATTTGAACGAAAAGAAGACAAAAATACGTATTTCGGTGTTTCTTTGTCTTCTTTTTCTTTCTTTTTTTATTTCTTTTATTATAATGTGATAAAAACAAAATTGAATTGAAAAAAGTTCTTCGAGAATCGGTTGGCCTTGAATATATATGTTCGTGATTATAATGTTCTTTCTTTTTCGAGGGGAGCATGAACAAAGACTAATCTTCCTTACGAGTTCGTGAGAATAAGTATTACCAATAAAATTTTTACCTACATTATGTCTATTTACCTACGAATATTACCTAACGAAACTTTCGTTGACAAATTTGAAGGAATTAAGTATTATATTGCGCAGGAAAAAGAAAACAATTTTAATTTTATTAAATAATAAACATCGATGTTAAACTTTCTTTAGGTTTTTTTTTACATGCGCGCGCACACACACAAATTGACTGAAAGAAAGTGAAATGAAAGAATAAAAAAACGAAGTAAGATTAATGTTGTAAATGTAAAATACACATGTCAAATAAATGAATTCATACACACACACACTCACACAATACAAAGTCTTATATTATATTAGTAGGTTTCACTGTCACTGCAGCTTAAGCAAGTGAAAGCGTCCTTCCGAAATTCAGTAACTTTTACTTTCAATTTGATGCAAACCTGTACGATATAACTTTCAGTATCACTTTCAAAAAAGTATGAAATACATTCGTGAAAATGATAAAAATTAATTGTCAAGGACACATTAAATTGATTGATTCGTGAATAATTTTGTTAATAATGAAAAAAAAATGTAATAAATTTGTTATGTAATATCGTAAAAAGAAATTGATAAATTTTGACGTGAGTTATTTACCTAGTAGGCTCATCAAAGAACATTATAGGTGGATTGTTAACGAGTTCAAGTGCAATTGAAAGCCTTTTTTTCTGGCCCCCGCTTAAATTTGAAGTCATCGTATTTCTGTGTTCAGACAAGCCGAGAGTCTCCAATATTTCTTGTATCTGAAAAAAACAAAAGCAAACGAATATAATATTAAACGCCTAGTCATAAAATAAATAATATTTAAAAATCATTATATCACCAGTCCCCAAATAATTGATTATAATATTTATATGATTGATCTTAATGAAAATATCTTATATTTTTATTTCTAATTAATAATTGTGATCCCATCTCTAAACAATATTGTAACAATCTTATAAGATATTGTTTAAATATGTTATTTAAGTTAAAATAAATAATTTGATAGATAGAAATTGTTTAAAAAATAAGGAATAAAAAATGTGTATTATAAATACGCACCACTTCTTCCTTTTCATCCTTTGGAATATGTTTTTCAAGTTTAAGATTTGTAGCAACCTTCATAGCTTCTGCGACAGTTAAATTGGCATGCAACTGATTATCTTGCATGATGTAGCAAGAGAGTTTTCTGAAGGCACTTAGATTCCTTTCGTGTCCATTCATCGTTATACTTCCTTCTACTCCTGTCGATCTAAAAATAAAAATACAAGTTTTCTTTTAAAAATCCAATAATAATATATTTACATTATTTTATATATATTTTATTTAAATTTTCAATATTTTACATAATTCCGTCATTTATTTGAATTAAAGATCATTTCTATTTAAAATATATTCTGTCTCTGAAGGTAATTATTGATTTTGTAAATGTATTTATTAAATATTATAGAATTCACAAGTAGGGCCAAAAAATTATTTGACTTAATTGAATGAAAGAGAAATAACTTTGCCAAAGATAGAACAAGTCTACAGAATATTCTCTTTTTCTTATTTACTAAATTAGATTCAGTAATACTATAATATTTTATTTGTCAAAAGATTTGAAAAAAAAGGATGTTAAATTATTCAGCATTTAAAATGAGATAATATTTGTACATACGAAAGAGTGGCAATACGATGGATAACGATAAAAAAAATAAAAACTAAATGGTATGTTCATTCTTAACATAAATGTTCAAATGGAAAATGTATGTTAGTTTAAGACTAACGAATGATTACGATTAAAATTCTTGAATATAAAATAATTCCTTTTTTTGTTTCTTTTTTTTTTTTTTTTTTTCTTCTATCTTTTGACGAATTTATATAACCTGAGAAAACGTGGAAAGTGAAAACAGTTTCACTTTCGAGTAAAAAGTAAAACTAGTTTGCTTATTTTATTTTAGAAAAAAAAGAAAAAAGAAAAATCAGACAAAATTTGTGTGTGTGGTTCACTTTAATAATAATTCTTTTCTAATCCTCGTTCTAATTAAATTCTTCAGACATTTGAAATAAAAGAAAAAAAAAAAATATTAGTCAACGACTTAGCCACGTTGAATTATTAATTCCTATCATGATATGAGTATAAGCCAAGCCACGTGGGTACGGTTAGTAACATGGATGGGTTGGGTGATCCGTTCGTAGAAAAGAAAAAATAAAAGACCATGTTCTTTGTTGATTTCAAAGAGAGGGGAAAAAAGACTCGTAACCTTTTTCTCTGCGGTAGTATTAAATAAATATGAGAAGGTGTTAATAAAGAATAATAAGTGCCTTTGAACTCTTGAAAAAGAAAAGAGTATAATAAAACAGAGGAATAAATAAATATTAACATACTTATATCCAGTGAGTATATTTAACAGAGTTGACTTTCCAGCACCGGATGGTCCCATGATGGCTGTCAATTCGCTAGAACGTAACCTTCCGCTTACTGAATTTAATATTGTTTTTATATCTGTAAATAAAAGAAAAAGAAAAATAATTAAAGAAATTAATTTAATATGAAATATATATATATATTAAACAGTGAGAAATATTTTCAATCGAATACAAAAGTTATTTATTGCATTTATAACGATATAATATCTGTTCCTATTTTATAAAATGATTTAATTATGAATAAAATATAAAATGAAAATAAACAAAATTTTAAATTAACCATTGACTTTATCTATATATTATTAAATAAATATTATTATTATTATTATTATTATTATTATTACTATTATTTTAATGTTCAATATTATCAATGCAAGTTTATTAATGCATTCACATATATACCATGACGATACATGATATTTTTATCACGACAATGATTAGTAACGTTTGTGGTTCTGGATATCGAACAAAGAGAGTACCATATATAAGCAGAACAAAGTCCAGAACGATGAACAAACGCATCATTCTGTTTTGTTCGTTAATCAAAAAGAAAAAAAGAAAAGTGACACAGAATAGATCAATTTTTAAATGACAGAATAATAATTGGGGAATTATTTTTTAATAAGTAGTATCATAAACGGTCAATTTTATGGACGATAAAAGTTTTTAATTTAAATTAATGATTGGTCCTACTCGAAAAAAACGATATGAGAAATGATTTGACGTTTTCTACCACTATCTTTTTTTGTTTACATGCATTAAATACAATATCTATCATAAATTTATTTGCAAATTTTATTCCAAACAATTTCTAGAATAAATAAATAACTACCAATTAGATTTTTCAATGTTTTCATTTCGTAATAAAGTGATTTATTACATTTTTCAATATGTTGTATTCTAAATAAAAATTTTGTAAATTCTTCTAGCACATTAATTGGTACAAATTATTAAATATAATCCTATTTATAGATGTGTTATAATTTTCAAGAAAATATTTCTTTATAATTTCAATAAATATACGAAGAGAAAGTAATATTTTTGTTGTTGTATAAACATTTATAAATATTTCTTCATAGTTTGTCTTATTGCTTATGTATTATTCTCGATGTTACGTGAAGTGAAACTTGTTGAAACGACTTAATAGTAATTTTATCATGACTTCTTCTTGCTGTTAACATTTTTTAATATAGCATTAACGATTGCGCTGAAAATTACAAGTTTTCGTTCGCTTTCTTTTGATTATTTAATTAAACATAAATCTTTTTCTTTCTCTAGATAGTAAACGTGTGCGTCGACTGTATATAAATGATAAAATAATTATCAATCGTTGCATTTTTCATATTTCTAATTTTTTTTTTTTTCCATAAAATATTTGCTTATTTTTCATTATATTTTTTTTCATTTCGAATCAAACCAACAAAGCAAATCAAATTATATATAATATTATTTATCTATTATCATTATTTTATATATATTAATTACAATATTAAAATAATTCAATTAGATTTTTATCGTGTTTAATTTTACAAATATAATACAAATTAAAGAGAATGTATATTACAATATATAAGCAAAAATTATATAAAATGATTACTTATTATTATGATACTTTTTATTTATGTATGTGTTTATTAACAAAACAATATTATAAAAATATCGCTAAACAAGATATATTTTTTATTTTTTTTTTAAATAAACGATAAATAATTAATACAATAATTATCAATGTGTTAAAATGCATATAAGAGAGAGAGAAAGGAATGATTGAAATCTAAAAGCAAGGACATTGATAAGCAACGTGAATAATACGATGAATCATTATTATGCAGCTTGATAATGAATACGAACGTAATGGTATGCATTTTGAAAGCACACGTATATAAAAAGACACGATAAGAGAATAATAAAATTATATAAATTAATTCTGTCAATACTGAACTAACAATGGGTAACCGAAAGCGAATAAATTTATAAGATCGATGAGCTTATCGATAAAAATAAAATTTGGTCAAGGAGTAATCGTTAATAATAAAGTTACAAAATAATAATAATAATAATAATAATAATAATATACGAAAAATATATTTTATCGGTCACGTCATGTGCTTTTTTTCTATTTTGTAATAATTATTTTTCTTTGGCTTGGAAATTATCCCTTTTATTCTTTTTAATTTTTGTATTTATAGTTACCCAAGATAATCAATATACAATATTATGTTTTTCTCGTAAGAAATCCAATTATTATTTCAAGATTGTTTCTTTATTTTATCCTCGAGGTCGTTATTATACTTTTTCGTTTACTTTTATATGCAAAAGCCGATGATAAAGCTAGATAACAGGGTATAATTAAAGAAATAATATAAAAAATCGAACGTTATTAATAACAATTTAACATGTAATTTTTCTACGATCACATCTGGATAAAAATGATTAACATAATTCAATCGATAAATCATACTAATTGCAAATAACAGAGAGAAACAGAGATCAAGGATATATTTGTAGCGTTTAATATTATTTTTTTTTCCATAACGTTCCGTCATAGTTTAAATATTGATACAGTGTATAATTTAATAATAACATATGTAATCCGTATATATTATTATTTTATAATTTTAAATATATATCTTTTGAGTGATACAATTATTGTTTGTACCTTGTTAGAAATAATTTCACGATAATGAAATTTATAATATAGTTTATCATTTTTATTTTTATCTTATATACTTCGCACATGAAAAATATTGTATTACGCAACCTTCTTGTATCGATCTTTTTATAAGAACCTCGTAAAGAAAAAAAAAAAAAAGTGTAATGAATGGTATTATTAAATAACTGCTTGAAAAAATTTTAATGTAAACGTACGAGTGTTTTTGTCGAATTTTTTTCTTTTCTTGTGTGTTTATTTTTTTTTTTAAATTAATTACGAAGTTTTCAATACGGAAATTAATATCAAACGAAACTGTTGATCACAAGTGAACAAACAAATTTGCCTTTTTTTATATATCATAGCACAGGGGTTTTCGTTTAAATAAATAACTACATATTTCTATCTGTTATTACCAGCAATCAGGATATTTCAATGTAATAGAGATTCCTTTAAACGTCAATTATATCATTTATTGTATTGTATACTTGAAATCTTTATTGCATACTGATGCTAATTAATGATATAAATTAAAGTATTTTGCATTAGTAATTTAATGCAAAATAGTAAATCATATATAATTACAATAATATTTTAAAATTAATACTATAGAAATATACGAGAGAAACGTTTTATATAAAATGTATGTAAATTTTCAATGAAACAAGATTTAATCGTACTTTATCGTAATTTTATTTCAATTAAAAATCGTATATAAACAACAATGATATAAACTTGCAACCTTGAAATATGAATTAAATTTTAAAATAAGATAATAAAAAGTATTAGAGAGATAAGAAAAGTAAATATATATATACAAGGAGTTAATAATTTCTTCATGCGAAGAGAAGCATGGATCGTTAATCGCGTTTGCGGGTTTATGCTCTAACTGGACATTTTACAAAATGCGGTCATTGATTTTATTCCTGTTTAGCTGGTATGTAGCACACACACTATTGACGTTTAGTTAAATACAAATTAAATTATTATCATATTTATATATATTATTATTGTTCTATAATAATTATTATTATTATTATTATTATTATTATTATTATTAATATTATAACAATATTTTTATTATTTTATTACGTAAAGAATTTTTCTCTTTTAAAGCAATACATGATAAGATTGAAAAACTTACGAGGAAAAATAATTTCAATGAATATGAATAGGTAAACAATTTTGTAATGTACACGTGTCAAATGGGATATGTATAGCTCATTTTTTAAACTAAAAAAAAACACAAGGTAGAGTTTGAAGTAAAAAAAAATGGATGATAATAATAACCATTCTGGTTAACAACTTGTGCATATTAAATATATATCATATGCGAATAAATATGTATATATATATATATATATATATATACCTATGCAAATGTATTTTTCGTTATTAAAATAATAGTTGCTGATAAGAGAAAAGGAAATATCACATTTTCTCTAACATATGATATTTCTTTTGTTTTCCTTTTTTTTCTGTCATCTTATCTAAAGTCCAAGAAACTATGATAATATGGCTCATTATTCATCTTCTTCCCTTCTTCCTTTTTTTGTTTATATTTTTTCTTTCATTCAATAATATACACGACTATTTTGCATTAACTCTTTCGTAATCGAAATAATATATATAATGATAGTGAATGTGCTAGAATTGATATGAATTTTTATAACAAAATTCGTTGAAACTTTTCCTTTAGATCTTTCAATGTTATTTACGATTCTTATATATTCCTATCTCACGATCTTGTTTTTATTTTAATTACAAAGCAGTAAAAAATCAATACATTTTTAAATTATGTATCCTAATGTGAATATTATACAGGATTTTTATCGATTTTTTTTTTATTTATCCTTATAACGTCGAAATTAGAATCTCAGAAAGAGAGACACAAAAAAAATGAACAAATTAATTTTCCTTGATAAGTTCTTAGAAATATATTTATAACATCTTCTATACTTGTAATATTAAAGGAAGGTAATATAAAGAAAAATTAACTTAGTTTATTCGAATGAGAAATAAATTTGTATAAGTACTAAAATATGCTGGGGTATAATTTTAAGAAATAATTTAAAATATTATAATAATAAATATAAAATTCACATATAACACAGAAAAATACAAAAATTTAGATTAGAATTTTTTTCCTTAGACAATTATGATACTTTTTTTTCTATAAAAATGTTTTTCTAAACATATGGAATAATTAATATAATTAATATATATTAATTTACACACACACACACACATATACATACAGAAAGAAACAGACAAACAGATAGAAATAGACGTAAAAAAAATACATAAAAAAAAGAAAAAAACTTACTATTTTTTTGTCCCTCTTGAACTTTGTAAACAAGATTGGAGAAAGCCAAATTAACCGGTGGTCTTTTAGGTAAATGCGTAATAGTTTTTGGTTGGGATGGCACGATTTGCAATCGTACGGTAGAACTTTTTCTCGAATGTAGTAATATCCCATTGGAGGAATCGTCATCCTTGGAACAGTTGCCCTCGAGCTTCATGGTAATTTATTTTTCTGTTCTTTTTCTTATATATCTTATTTGATAAATAATTGTCTTTTTTGTTTTCCGTTACACGTTACACGCACGCACTAACTCACAACAAGGAGCGATAATAAACAATTTTCTTCACTCTATTTCTTTTTTTTTTTTTATTCTTTTTTTTATTTCCCACAAGATTATTTATTGAAGAATCAAGCAGTATCTTTCCTTTTGTTTCGTTTCACCACTCACTTGACGACCAATTTTCGATTTATCAATTTTTTTTTTCACCACCTGTAAAATTAATCATTATTTTTCTTTTTCGTGAGTTTATTTATATATATTTGATTTTGTCAAATAAATTTTATAATGCGAAAAATTGGATTTAGAAAAAGTATGCTTTCGCGATTAATGTTATCACAAATTGGATATATTGTTTTTGAGATTTAAAACAATGTGTAAAACTATATATAAGTAATTTTAATGTAAAAAATACAAGAATGTGTAATTAATAACTTTTGACTGACTACGGATGAAATATTGGAAAGAAAAAAATTACGATGTACGATAATAATTGTATATTTCTTTTAATAATGTTAAAACGATTTTATAGATTTATATACACAGGGTCAATCCTGATACCTTATTCGACCACCAAAAAGATCTCATTTCTTTCACGAAATATTGTCTCTTATATATGAGAAGATTTTTTACTTGTACGAGTGTCTTTTTTACACGTTGATTAATACGAGCAAGTATTAAAGTTCTATACACTTTCCACAATTTTTTCAGTAAAGGTCATTTGAAAGTCAACCTGTTACACATCGTTCGATTCAGGTTTTTATAAGTTATAAGAATATTGCAGTGAAAATATGCAGTCCCGTGAAAAAAAAAAAAAAAAATACGACGATCTTGATATTTCGAAATATAAATGATTTTGAAAATAAAATTCGGTTCATTACTATATCGGTGCCTTCGAACAAAATATTTTTCTCCTTTGATAATGTTTTCTATCGTACGAAATAAGCGAGATATTTTAGGTGGTCGGAGTTAAGCGAAAGATCCTGCATATATATTTAACAGAAAAACATGACAGCTTGATATTAATATTTAAATTAGTAACAAAAACTTCACAAATTATCATCTTCGATAAAAGAATTCATTCGTTTTGTAAAAAAAATTAATAAGCAGAGATGTGAAATATCACGGAACCACGTATATGGCAACGCTCGTATCGCAACGTGCAAGATAAAAATTGAAAATGTACGTGAAATATTTTCTAAACAACGTATAAATATTAAACTTTTCGATTTATGTGCATCCAAATTTAATTCAATTATTTCCCCTTATTACAATTTTCACTCAATAATTATTGAATATATATATATATAGATCAATTTATTGTTTTTTCTTTTTTGCAAAATTTGTAAAAAAAGAAAAATCGTTAACGACACAATTGAAATATTTTGTTCACAAACGTAACATATATTATATAATTTTTCTAAAATCTCAACATCAAAATAGAAAAAAAAAAGAAAATATTTGTGTATATCGATAAAAAAAAAGTTCTTACTCTCTTATCGGCAAATTTTCGAAACAACTCAACTCAGTAAGGCACGCACCATGTACATACGCACATATATATACACACACACATATACACACCAAAAGAACGAATCTCCTTTTTTTTCTTCCGTCCCCTTCCCCACAGACTTCTTACACCAAAGAAGAATGGCGAACACTTTCAAACCACTCTCTCTTTTCAGAGAAATTTTCTAATAGAAGAATAAATCACTATATTTTTTTTCCAATCGTCAATGACACAATAGTCTGAAAAAATCCTAAATTATTATTATACGTGACGCGTTTGTCAACACTATTTCTCAATTGTAATACCTTGATTTTATAATAGATTCTTATCGAGATTATTTTTTTTTAAAATAATTTTTAATTTATAAAAAAAAAACCTAAAGACTTATGAAGAAGAAGAAGAAGAAAAAAGAAATACGAATTAGTTATAAATGACTTTCGTTGAAGTAATATAATTAAACGATCGATATACAAGAGTACAAATTCAAATGACCAATTAATAATAATAACAACAATAACAATAATAATATTAAAAAAAAATATGTAGAAGAGAAAAGGAAGGAAACTAAAAAACCCCCTTTCCCTTTGCGAAACGCACGTCTCAACGTCTTGAGACTTACTGATTTCACTCAAACCGCTGCTGCAACAGATTTTCGTCATTGATCGTCTCTACCCCCTTCCTCCCACCTCCCACTCCCTCTCCTACTCATACCACGCTTTTTCTCTCTCTCTCTCTTTCTCATTCTAACTCTACATCTCTATTAACTTGTATCTTTAAATATCTTTACTTATCTGATAAATTCTTCCTCTCTCATTAGATTAGATTTTTTATTATTATTTTATTTATTAGCATTTATGTTTTTTTTTATTCCTTTTTTTTGCTTCTTCTTCTTCTTCTTCTTCTTTCATTCTTTCCTTCCATACTTTTTTTTTTCATTATAATTATTTTATATTTTATTTACAAACTGTTTTCATTTTCTTTTTTGTTTTCTTTGCCAAGGAAATTATATCATATGATTGAATTGTAAATATTGATGAAAAGTAAACGCGTGAGAGCAATGTATTGTAATTGGAAAGATTATAATGTTGATGTGATGAGTATAAGCAAACATCGTTTGCCTCTTTGATTAAATATAAATATTAAAAGACGAAATAGTGATGAGACAGATTATTTACTTTGTATTGTTTTAGTCTCTCTTTCTCTTTCTCTTTCTCTTCCTGCATCTCTTTCTCTCCGTTTCGTTATGCATTTAAATATTATGTGGTTAAAGTGATTCACTTTCTAATTAAAATACAAATATTTCATGTATATATTTTATAACGTTTTTTATGAAACCTTGCGAATTTTTTTTATGTGTTACTATTCTTTATTTTTTTTAATCGACTCTTTGTTTTTCTTCTTTCTTCTTCTTTCTTGTATATTTTTCATAAAACAATAAGCATGACTTTTTCGTATAAATATTGTATACAAATTGAATTGATATTAAATTAATTTAATTTATATGTTAGATAATATTTGTTATTACGATTAGACAATTTTGTTTGATTTTGTTTTTGACTATTTTTTTTTTCAATTTATATATTATCATTTTCAAGTAAGATAAATTATTATTTCGTCGTCCTATTTTATTATTATAATATTCTAACATCTCGAGGAATCCGCAGTTAATCCGGTGAAAGTTAACGAGAGTGCTAAGCTACAATTGTACGATTTTCTTTTTCTTTTTGTATTTATAATAAATGGAGAAGAGATTAATAAAATAAAATAACATTAACCCTAATCCATTCCTTTCTAATGTTTAATTTAAATTGCACACTTTGTCAATGATGTAATCGAAGAAATAAACATTGAAATTCTAATTTTATTACCTTCAATGACTCGGTGTAATAAATATTGTTATAGGATATAATTAAGAATTGTTATTCATATGTATCCAATATGGAAAAAGACAGAAAATTACAATGATATAAAACGGTTTCTTGTTCTACTTTTTCTTATTTAATTATAATGGATTCTTCCACTGCTTTGTTACTTTTTTTCAATCGAACAAAGTACGTACTTCTTCTATCTTAAACATAATAAAAATTTCATGATAAGTGTTCTGTATGTCTTAACTATTCTGGTTTAAAAAATATATACATAAATCTTGGAATAATGGAAGCTCAGTTATGAAGAGAGTATATATACGCCTTCGTAAAAAATTCACATTTGTCAGATATGAAAAACGTGTCGAGAATTTTAAACACTTCATATGTCGGTAATTTATTCGAGGAAAGTAAATTTGTTAGTTAACGGGCCAATATAAAATTTATAAAGTAATGAAAAATAAGAGAAAAAATAATAATTCAAATAAATCAATAATCACGCGTTAAAGTTCATCGTTACTTTTCTTTTTTTTATAAAAATTGAACGATACTAAAGAAAATAAATAAGTAAATATTATTTAAGATAAAATATTAGAATTTATCTTAACAACAATTAGAAAATTTTTAACAAACAAAAAAATCGTCTGTTATTAAATTAATTCCAAAGCAATAATAAAAATTTCCTTCGTATTGTTTCATAGATTTGAAAAAAAAAAAATCATATACATAAATTCTTAGATAAACTAGGCTTGAAGTTTCACGTTTTACGTTTTAATTCGTTTCTCTTTACGTCACACATTCGTATTCATAATGCTAACAGGATTTAGGTCAATTGTCATGCTGAGTTTGTCAAGACATTGATTTTTAAATCTTAAAGTCATTGATCTTTTTATCGTTGTTAAATGATAATATAAAAATATAATGCAACAAATCAAATTATCACGCGAATAAATAATACGATTGGGGAGGGGGGGGGGAAAACATAATTTTATGAAAATTGTAAACAAAACTTTTTACGTGAATGATAAAAATGTTTTTAAATTCGCGATAACGTGACGTATGTGACCCATTAGCTAGCTAACTTATTAAACGTCATTTGTAGTTTAAACTCGTTTTGAAGAAACAATAAGCCGTTATGATCGACATCAAAAGAACGCTCGTTTTCTTAATGTTTTACGTCATAAGTACTACTCACGTTTCCAACTAACACATACACACCTGCGTACACGTATCTCTTATGAATACAAAAAAGACTTGATATTGTAATAGAACATATTTCCTAATCGAAGATTAATAAAAATATTAAAATTCTACAGTTATAAGAGAAATACGTAAGGAAAAGTAATTTATTTTTTTTTTCTTTTTTGTACATATCTTACACTTATAAAATATTCTTTTTCATTCACATATATTCGTCTTCGTGTATTTTAATCGCATAGTCACCAATTTCGGTAGATAAGACACCTTATATTTAGTAGAATGATTGTGAAAATATCTAAACATAGAGAAACAAAAAAAGAACTTATCTTCACCGTTGTTTTTTTTTTCATTTTTGTTTCTATTTCTTTTTCTAAATTTGTTTTATATATTGTATTTCTACGACGCGTTATAATCGTTAGGAAAATTTAATCCGATAGTTCGGCGATACATTAACATAAATTTGCATATTGAATTTTAACTACACATTCCAAATAAATTGACTAATTTTTTACACATATTTATATATAAAATATAAGTTTAATGATTGCTTCAAAAGATTTCATTTCTCGTTCTTTTTTCTTTTTCTTTTTATAATAAAGTTAACAAACTTTTTATCTAATAAATGTAATCGTAAGGAAAAGTTTTTTTTATATTTTTGATATTAAATAGAAATAAATATCAGGTTTCCCTTTACTTTACTAATCACGTTCAATATTATCGATGATTAATTCAAGACTAGAGACGTTATTCTAGGAAAAATAAAAAACAATAGTAATTCACACGATTAAAACTAACAATAAGTTTGGAATAAATTTTATCAACGTACGAGATAATTTGAAAAAAAATCTTTCCAATCGATTAAGTAATATTAAAAAAACAAGGGAGTGAAAAATTTATTAATTATAATTAATAAAAACTTTAATAGATCTTATAACTGTTTTAAGTTATAAACATTGCATTTATTATCATTAAAATACGATTTCTCCCTTTTCTATCTTTCTTCAGTGAAAGATTATTTACAATATAAAACATAAAAGTGAGACTATTGGAATAAAGGTCATCCAAACAACGAATAGATCAAAGTCTATCAAGGAAGAAATAGTCGTAATCGCTTAAAAATACATCATTAATATTATTATATTGCTAAGGAACACGTTCATGCAATTATACGAATTACTTTATTGTTAAATAATTATTATGAGAAAACTTTTATACAAATTTGATGTTTATTAAACCGGTTTTGTGTTTTAACTCATTGCATATATATATATAAAAGAATATTATTGTACTATAATTCACATATAATAAATATAATTGTCGTTTTCTTTTTCATAAAATATTTCCCCCTTCAAAAGTTCAATTTTTACAGTCTTATAATATTATTACATGAACATTTTACATTCTTATTAATTAATTCATTATTATTCTTATTATTTATAGATTTATTGGTTATGAAATAATAAAAGTGACAACACTTAAATAACAATCTTAGATATATGAATAATTTAAATCTATTGAAAAATATTTTTTAAAAATACTTTTCAACATAATTTGATAAAAAATGAGACTTTCCTAAAAATTAATTAAACATAAGATCATATGTATGCAAATATTTTATAAAAAGAACAAAATTTTTTGTTACAGGAGATAAGAAAATTTCAATATTTGAGCTAAAACGAAAGGAATGACATTCTTCAATAGAATTTACTTGCAGATTTGAAATCCATGTATAAGAAAAAAAAAAAGAGGAAATTGGAATAAATTTAAATCTGTAATGAGTTGTTTGGAAACCCTCATAGGATATGATACGAAAATATTCTAAAATATTTACCGAATTGTTTTAACGATGAATGAACAAATATATGGATAATTATGAAGAATAAAATATAAGTTATTTTCAGAATTTTTGAACGAGCTGTTTTATTATTATTATTTCTTTCTCTGTTTCATTAAAAATGTAGAAAGCAAATTTACCGAATTTTTTTTTCTTTCTCTATCTTTCGTTTTAATACAAAATATCGAACAAAAAATTAATAAAATATTGGAGAAAAAGTTAATATTAATTACATATTTATGAGACCAACGATAACGTTAGAAATAAAATTATTAAAAATATAATTACAATAATATCTTTTGTAATTCAAAAAGCGAATGTATACGAACAAAGCAGAAATTTAAATTTAAAATATATTTGAAACATTCATATAGCATCACTGCATTCTAATATATTCTACTAAGAAAACAAAATTTTGCGAACCAATGAATATAAAAATCAACGAGAAAAAAAAAAGAAATACAAAAAAACCGAAAGCCTGACGCAACCCTAATAAAACGTTTAATTAATTTCTCTCTCTCTCTCTGAATAAATATTTAATATAAAAACAAATACAAATTATTATATAAATAATAAGTAAATAATATAAAAAATGTAAGAATAAATATATTAAATTTGTAGCATTTGTAATATCTAATAAATAATTGTTGTAAATTTGTTTATAGAGAGAATCGAGATAAAAAAAGAGATATGATTAATTTTGTTGTTAAAATCGACAAAAGTTCATAATCCGATGGATTACAATTGAATACTCCCTTCTCCTTCTCTCCATTATCATTGTTTTATCTAGATCAAAGTTTTGTTATAATCACGAGTCTTTATTAAAGATTAAAGGGTAAAGATGCACGTGTACTTTGTACCAACTTGATATCATTCCTCAACGAAGATAATTATTATCGGATTTTAATTCAATTACACATACTTACTTTTTAGTTCTTCTTCATTTCTCACTTAACATTTAATTATTTTTTTTATTGGTTTTTATTTTTTACTTTTTATTTCTAATGAGTATTTGTTTCTGTATTAATATTTCTCGGAACAGTACTGACTAATGCATAAATATTCTCGATAAGACCTATTTGTTAATCAAATGATATTAAAAAGAAACTCATTCATAATTATTCTTTTTATCAGATGATAATAATAATTAATTAGAAATAAAAACTCTTCTTCGTAATACAATCTTTTCTGATTATAATTCTTTGAACATCGATCTGATATATTTCACAGGAAAGTAAAATAACACGTAGATCACTTTTTTAATAAAAGCATGGAAGGATCGTGTAAATTTGTAAAAGAGAGATCGTAATTTAAAAATAAAAAACTATAAATTTATCGTTAACATATTACGAGATATGTCGCTATACACAAAAAAAAAAACTCTGAAGTTTTTTTTCCTGCAATTATTTATTAATTTTATAGACGCTATAAATGATTTATCTGCGATATTTTTTGAAAACATCCTCAATAGAATTATCAATTAATTAAAATTGATATTCTTGATGATACTCACCTATCTATTTTGTTATTTCTGTAGTAGTTGTTTTGCACATCGCGTTTCTCTTTATTCACCATCCTAATTGTTTATGTTTCTCTCTTATTCGATGATCCAATTTTTGGAGTTTTACTATATTTGCTTCACTGGAAAAAACAAACAAAAAAATAAAATGAAAATATTAATTAAAAATAAATGCAGTAATTGCATGCAGCCTATCACTCAAACAGCTGATTACAACTCTGTTTCTTTTATTATGTTATCATCATATTATCATTCTGTATTTTGTACTGTAAATGATTAAATGTTGATATAAAAGAAATCATTTTAAAAATTAGAAAAGAAATTGAGATAATAATGAGATAGTTAATTTTAGACAACTACTAGCGTATTTTAACATATATATACATATATATTTTTATTACACATATGTTATAAATATATTTCAAATAAAATTGCATACTAAATATTATATAGAAAAAAAAACTATCGTGATGAAGGCTAAAAGATTTGAACGATTTAATAATGAGAATAATTAAACAAATATGTGTGTATGTATGTGTATAGCATTAACATTATATAATTATTTCTAGATGTGACATTGAAAAATGTTCCATGATCTCATCGATGATAAACGTGACAAAATAATTTAGTGAAATGGAAATAAAAAAGAAAAAGAAAACACATTTAATTGCATATTTTTTAAAATAATATGCTATCGTATGAATTAATCAAATATAACATGGAGCATTAATAATATTTTTTTTATATTCAATATAAATTCTTACGTTATCTAATAGTTCTCTGATAATATTAATTTTTTTGTCTTTATTCGATTTACATGATTATTTATTGTTCTTCTTTTTCCTTAATTGTTTTTTACCTATTTCAAATCGCTATACTACAATTATAAAACAATAAAAATATCTGAAAAGTATAAACTGTATAGTTATACATTTTATATTAGTTATAGATACTATATCATTATACGTATACTTAAAATAAACTCGTTTTGATAGAATAATAATTGTTAAACAAAAACAATTATTAATGAAAAAAATGAATGATATCGCAAAAAAACTATTTTACAATTCCTATTTATGTTAAATTATTGAAATGATATACATACGTCTATACATTCTCGTTGGCGTAAAATCGATTGAACATTGAACTTATTCATTTTTAACATCAATTTGATTTTGATTTAATTGTACAAACATTATTACGATCAAATAGAAATTCTTTTCTTTTTTTTACCACTTTTAGGTAAATCCTATAATAATTATAAATAGTAAGTTGAAAAAAAAACATTGAAAAATTAAACTGCTTAGTAATTTTATATATTCCATAAATTAAAATATATCATACTTTATTAAATATCATTAAAAATATCTAGTAATACGTTCCAGATGAATATATTCATGAAATATCTTAGAATAATGTTTATAAATCATTATAACGATAATAATAATTATTGTTATTAAATTTAAATATATATAAAATTGTTGACGCATATAAGAAGAAAGAAAAAAAATATACGAGATTGGATTTTCAGCCTTGATAAAAAGAATTTTCTCATTCTTTTTTCTAATTTTATATAAAAATAAGTTTATGGAAAAATGGAGATAGAAACAGAGCATTAACGTATGAACTTGGATACAAAAATTTTCCTTAGGGTAATTGTAAATTTATCTGTGACCAAGTAATTGCAATCATTTTCTTTCTCCCCTCTCTCTCTCTCTCTCATGCTCTTTCTTTTTTTTCTCAGGATTTAATCTTGACAAGGATCAGAACCGGTTTGATTTGAAGTCATGGCAATAGCAATAATAAAACAGAATATCTACACAAATATAATCAAACTTTATCGATTGTTTTTATCTATGTTAATGAAAAATTCAACGTTTACCGTGACAGTAGTTAAAATTTTTTTCTGTTGATAATAAACGTCAAAAAAAAAAAAAAAAAATATAAAAAGAAAATTCATACGAACATAAAAGTTATCTGACTGCAACGCATGAGTATACTTGAACTTCGAGAATTATTTGAACTTAAACTTCAAATATTATCCCCTGTTCAATATTACTTATATTTGCTTCTTATTTTAGTTTGATATTTCTTAATCGAATTATGCTGGTGAATTTAACGGGTAAATATTTATTATTTTTTTTTTTTTTTTTCTAAAATAAAAAATATAATAAGACCAATGCCATATCATTTATATTTCTTTTTTTTTTTGTGCATTTACCGTTATAATAATCACGTTTCAATAATTTATCGTTCATTATGGAAATTAGGGAAAAATTGTTCTCACATATTTTATTTCGCATAATAATTTCAACATAGTCGTAATAATAAGTTATTGCAAGTATGTCCGGTTATTATTACGACATAATGAAGAAATTATTCTCAGTCATTGTTAACGTAGTTTTACGTAAGATTTAAAGTCTTATTATTGTTAATAATTAAAATATATATTTTATCTAAATTTCTTTTTTTGCTTAATTCATAAAAATCATTTTATTTTTAATATGTTATTTCATATGTTACTTTAAATTAATACAATTTAAATATTATGTACTTGTATAAATAAAAAAATTGGAGGTAACATTAAATTATTCAAAATGATGGTTAAATCTTTAAAAATGTTATGTGACAATATTAACAATTATTATTATCATTATATTTACGAAATGAAACGTACACATATATAAACATATTATAAATATACACATATGAAATTTGTTTAATATTTTACTAATATTTTACACAATGACGTCAAGAAACTTTGATCCTTTCTTCTTTTTTTTTTTACTACAAAAAAAATCAAATAAAAAAACAAGTGGCTTATCTCAGGTTTAAAGGTTGAATAATATACGTGTCTACAATGTCACATACAATTGTCCATTTGCGTTCTACTGGACAAATGAAATGGAACGAATAGATATATTTACAAATAATACGAAGATGAAGAAGATCGAAATGACAAATAATACGATATAAGTTGTCTATATATATATATCAAGTTTAGATTGATCAATATGTTTTGAATCTTAATTTTTCTAATTTATTGTCATTAAGAAAAATCGAAGAATTTTATTTCCATAGAATTAAAAAAGAAAAAGAAAAATATATATTTTTCTCTAGTTTCCACCAGTGCGAAAATTACGAGTAAAAGAAAATAAGAAGAAAAATTTAATTTCTCATAAATTAAAATGAATATTAAACGTATTTTAAGATCGGAAAAACTAATTATTTATATTTTCTTTTTTTTGTGTGTATAAATTATACGACATACCGAAATTATTAAAAGTATACGCACGTTTCATTTACATATGTATTATAGTATCAGTATCATCGTATAGAAATGATATTAAGTTTTATAAACAGTAACAAAAGAATCTCTACTCGTTCATTTGTTTACCTTGTCTTTTTATTTTCTTTTTTTCTTGGTTGAGATCAAAGGTGTTGCGATAGTCTGACGTATGTATAAATGTAATTGAGATTTTTTTCAATTGGATATTTATAAAAAATACGATTGTATTATATTCTGAGAACACTTACGTGATTAAAAGTACAACAAAAAACAGCAAAGCAATAAAGTCTCTCAAGGTTGTTAATTTTAAACTATCCTGGATGCATTATCGTATCAATTAATGTGTAATACTGTTCGAGTTCTCGTTGTGTTTGAAATTAAACGTTTTCAATTATTAATTTATATATATTTAATTTTTTAATTAAATCATTTGTAAAGAAAAGTATAAAGAAAATTTGAAAAAAAAAAAAAGAGAAACACCATATAAAACTTAATCCGTTTAATAGGTCTTGTAAAATTTTATGTTAATTTATTTATAACGATTGGAAATGACAAAGAAACGTGGCAAACATCGTTGAATGTTCACCAAGCACTGATTATTTTTCCTCTCCCACTTTGAAGTCTTTTCATTTTAATTACGTGTTTCCTTTCTAATCGCAAAAGACAACGTTCAATTATTCGTGCCACTGTAACTCGGCTCGTTAGAGTTGCCGTCTGATTGGTCGACAATAATGAGATCGAATACTTTCGATAGTTAACTTTATATATTTTTTCTTTATCATCATTTTTTTTCTATATACATTTTAATATGCATATCTTTTGGTCTTATTACTTATTATCTTTTTTTTTCTTCTAATAATTTGTATGCTTTAATAATAATTGACAGCGAGAAATATTTCGATGTAATAAATTTCGATAAATCGATTACTTAGTCATTGATCTTCTCCCTCTTCTTGGAATTGTTGAATAATTAAACAATTGTAGTTGTTTTATTCGACGTTCTTGGTTTCTTCTTTTTTCACTATTTATTTCACTATTTTAATAATATATTACAGTTAAGAAACTATGATTAAATATTGATATATAATTAATTACGTGTATCAATTCACTTTATCGTCACGAATAATACGAGGAAAATAAACATGGCGTATGACAAGATGACTGACCAAGTTCCAAGTGCGTCTCTTCTACTAACGGTAGAAAATTGAACTAAACTTTCAGTTTGTTATCAATACTCGGTTGGGAAATTATTTTTGTTTGTTTGTTAATAAATTTTATAGAACATATTTCACACTTGGTAACATTTGTAAAATTGTTCTTAAAAAATTGAGATTGTACAGACATATAGGAGATTGTAGACTAGATTCGTAAAATAGAACTAATCGTTTATTACAATTGATTGTAAGTTTTGTCGGTAAGATAGGAAACTCCATTTTATTCGAATTTATAAAACATTTACTTTTGTAACAAAATTACTATTATATCTATAACGACTTTAAATAATTCTAATTTACGTCATTTCATTTGCAATGGATGAGCAAAAAAATTATAAATGTTGTATAATTAAGTACAATATGATTGTATTCTGTATAAAGTGACGATGCAAGATAGCTTAATAATTATTAAATGAATAACATAATATTATTGGTAATTAAATCTTGTTTTAAGGAATAAATTAACTTGTCAAAAAATGGAGTGTCACGCGTAAAACGTAATGATTGCATTGCATTAATAGGATACTACTATTTTTTTTTTATCCTGTTCAATGAATAACAACTCTGTTCATATATGTGACGTAATGTTAAAGAACATTATTTATGAGTCTTATATTATCAGTTAATATTTATTAATAATAATATCAAATTCTCTTTTTTAAATATTATAAAACATGTTATTTCTTTCGAATTAATTACAAGTCATCGTAAATAAATTTTCTTTCGTTGTGATATAAAATAAAATTTAATAAAAAAAAAAAGATTTCGTTGCAACGAAATTTGCAGATTCGTGTTCACGTTCGATATAGGCATATATGTATGTGTGCGTACGTGAAAAATTATAGTATTCACAATGGTGAAAATTAACGCAATCTTCGAGCTTCTCGTTCAGATTCCAAAAGCGTTAAAATATCCCCTTCTCGAACGGGTCCTTTGACGTTACGGATTATTTGTCTATTCTGTTCGTTCAAGAATTCCACTTTGACTTGGGTACATTGACCTTGAGAGCCCGTTCTTCCGAGCACCTTTACAACTCGTGCACGAACTATAGGTGTTTCCATGATATTTGAATTAAACTTTTAATCACTTCCGTTCGATATAATTAATTTTCATCCAACGAAATCGTTCTCGATCTTTAACGATAAGTTATATAATGTAACGTTCTAAGTTATTCTAAAGTCTTTCAACTTCTGCCAACCGTAATAAATACTAAAATTAAATCGAATAAGATACTAAAAGAAGTTACATAAAAAAGGTACACGGGATAAGAATTAATTTCACTTTGATGTTGAATTGTTGGTTTTCGAAGATCCAATTACATTTGTTATTGCGATTTCAAAAGAAAATTGTTAAGTAAATTGATAGTTAGTAAAATAATGCATAATTATTAATTTGGTAACATTGACGTCGAGTAGTTAGAACAAAAATAGCTACTCGCACGAAGTAAAATCGTCGTCACAAAATGAAGAGAAGCGAGTCTTATTAAAAAATTCAAAAATTCGCGCTACGGTCAACTCAACGCCATCTATTGGAAATTTAACAAAAAAACTATTCAAATTTAAATCCTTTTTATCGCACTTCTGTTATCGTCTGATTAATTAAAAAGAAAAAATCGATTGAATGAATAAATATATAAATAAACATCGTATTATATAATAATATGTGTGTTTAAAATAAAGAATGGCTGCTTTTCGCCCATTTTTACAATTGATTTTATTCGCTTGTGCTTTAGTACAAATGTGACATTATTTTCCTTGCCTATAACAAGAAAGAATATGTCTTTCGATTATTTTTTATTTATATATATTTCTTTGTTTTTTAGATTACGATTTATATACCAATTTTTTATTCGAAATATATTCACGCGATGTGAATTATTTGCTAAGAGATACCCTTTATATGCATCATACAAGACGACTATAATTATTTCCCTTTCTTTCTTTCTTTCTTTCTTTCTTTCTTTCTTTCTTACTTTCTTACTTTCATTCTAACACTTATTCTCTCATCTACATTTCATCTTTCATTTAATTAATTTCATGTCAATTTCAAATCAAACGTACCACTTACGCATGTCACCCACACATGCACCGAGACGAACATTCTTTCATATAAAATTACATATCGTACGTGAAAAAATTTTTTTAATGTATCTTGATAAATAAGCAGTATGTGGTCTGATTCGACGATGTTAATTAATTAATTAATTAATTAAACAACCTCGTCAATGTATTGGATATACATATGTATACATATATGTGTGTCTTTTAGTTTTTATTTCTAAAAACTCGAGATTTATCACTAATAAATGAGAATTAAAAACTATCTAAACTATTTATGTATATGTATATGGATTTATGAATGTAAGTATGTATGTATGTATTTATATTACCTACAGGGAAAGATAGAAAGAGAGAAAGAGAT